TTGGATTATGCCCAGGAGTGGAATTGCTGGAGTATATGGTAGTTCTATTTTTAGTTGAGGAACTTCCACACTGTTTCTACAATAGTTGCATCAATTTACATTTCCATTAATAGGGTACAATGGTTCTCTTTTCCCCACCTTCTTGCCTACCTTTGTTATTTGTAGACTTTTTGATAATACTCATTCTGACAGGTGTAAGGGTTTTGATTTGCATATTTTAAACACACTAAACTCATCCTCCCTCCCCCCCAGAAGCCCACTAATATTGTAAATACCTCAACTAGAAAACATGGCTGTGTCAGCACCATTTCGTTAATGGAAGCTTCAGACAAGGCTCCTTGAGAGAGCCATTTCACTTTTGAGGGGTGATTTCTGAGCATGGGGCGTGTCCAAGGTTCCCAGTAGCCTAGTTCAAGGTTTGTTTGCTGCAGATTTTCCTGCTCTCTGACTGCAAATAAGGGTCACATTTGGTGCTGAGATTAAAAGCAAACTGAAAGATGTGTCACTTCACGTCCAGATAGATGCCAGATGCAGCACTTTTAGATTGGAGCCAGGGTTACTGCAGCCAAAACACAGACTAACTTTGCTGGGAGAATCTGCATTTCCTTTAATATTTTTGATATAAGATATCACAATATTTAGTTGCTTTGTTCTTTCACAACTTGCTTCCTGACAAGATGCAGTAGGAAGCAAAAATACTATGTGCTGATTTTTCAAAAAATGTTTAGTTTGATCAGAATGTAGGACACTAAACAAGATGATTAGCCTGTCTTCTTCAGAAATTCAATGCCATCAGAAACAACAAAAGCAAAGAAATCAGGAGAAAGTTCCAGGTAGTAAGAACCAAAGTGCAATTTAGAAACTTTAATTGGAATGGGGCAGATAGCAGTACCACAACACACACACCTAATTCTTAATCTCTCACTCATATCTATACATAATATAGATGCATATATTAAATGCATCTATATTTATATACATACCCATGTATATATCTATATAGATATGACATTTTTAAACATTGGGAAAATTTATACCTGAAGCATATATTAGATAATATTGAATTAGTATTAATGTCCTAAGGTTTGACAATTGAATTATATTATGATTATATTTCCTGGTATTAATATATGATGTCCTTAATACCAGGAAATACATTTTGAAGTATTTGGAAGTGGGCTTTTTATTTGCATTTATTAAAGCAATATGAATGTGTTGAGGGGGTGAATGCAGACAGAGAAAAGGAACAAATGAATGTTAATTGCTGTATTTAGATGAAGAGAAGAGAGGTTCATTGTATGATTCTTTCAAATTTTCCATAGGTATGAAAATTTTCAAAGTACATAATTGTTGGGGGGGGGGGAGGGGAATGATTGTAAACACAAGAGGTTGTGAAGAGCTCAGTCCAGGACTAAAAATTGGCTCTCAATGGTCTCTCCCTTTCAAAATGAGGTGACAGTGCTCAATGCCACCCACATGTATAAGAAAATGTAAGTCACTGGTGTATGGTACAAACCCATGTAAAGGTCCCTTCCTGCCACCCAGGATTTGTCCTCCTTACATGAATCAAACTTCTAACCTAGAAAACTGGTAAATTGAAGGTTACTTTATACCTTTCAGAGTTTCTGGATGAAATGTCCTGATTTTATGTTTGATAGCAAAAGACAGGCCAATGGTGGTTGTTGTTTAGTAGCTCAGTCATGTCCGACTCTTTTGCCACCCCATAGACTATCACCTGCCAGGCTCCTTCTCTCCATGGGATTTTCTAGGTAAGAATATTGGAGCAGGTTGCCATTTACTTCTCCAGGGGATCTTCCTGACCCAGGGATTGAACCCCTATCTCCTGCATCGTCAGGTGGATTCTTTACCACTGAACTTCCAGTTCTATCTAGGTATGTTAGATCTCTCTTGTGGGTCCTAGACACAGACCTCTAGGATGGAGCTTTCACTAGAGTGTATCTGAATTACAACAGTGAGCAGTAGTTTCTCAGGATCCTTCTCTGGCAGAGATTCTATTGTTGTGTCCTTGGGTCCCCCATTGGGTCGATATGTATGAGACTGCTGCTTTGCTTGCAGATGCCCAACTTGGGTGCAGAAATTTTTGCCTGGGTATCTTGGTTCTCAGATGGTGAGATACAGTGATTTCTTCTATGTAATATTAAGTGCTCAATAACATTTAATTTTGGAATGAGGGGATGCATTGAGACTTGGTTTCTGTCACTCTGGGTTATAAATGTAGTGGGCACATTAATGTTTGAGTTCTCTGCTTTATGTAGAAGAGAGCTTTATAATTTTGATTTATACAAAGAGATGATAGCCAACAGAATGTATATGAAATAAACTTTATCCTAGGATCGTTCTAAACCCTCAGCCTCCCAGGAAAAGGGACATGTGCTGAAGAGGTGATGAATGGTCTGTAGTGACATTGTTCTGACTTATTCCTCACCCAAGTCCTTGCCATTTTCTTCCAGCTGCTGATGACTCCAGTTATCTACAGGAGGGAGATGGGGAGGAAGAAGGATTAGGGCTTTTCAAGATTATCTGTGAATCTAGGCACTGATGTCCCCTGAACAGTTGTCATATTTGTAGGCTGAACGGCTGTGATTTCTGCAATCAAACTATCTGTTTGGAGTAAAAATCTGAGTTGGGTGAAATCTTGCTCTTTCTTTCAGATTTGGATTTTGATGTTACGTTTCTCATCAGTTGGGGAAATGTTTGTGACTATGTTTTGTTGAAATAAGACAGAACTTTTCATAGTTTCAGCATTAGTTTTTACAGAAACAGAAAACAAAAACAAAAACAGGATTTTCTATCAGATTCTGTTGATACCCAACTAAGGCTGCAGTGAGAACTAAAGGGGAAAGAGGCCATGTGCCACCTGAATGCATTACATGGATAAGCTATGGAGGTCAGCTAAATCTGGAAAGAGAAAGCTGTGCTAGCAGATTAGAGAGAAAGTCCTCTGAAATATATCATCTGCCCTGTGGTGTGGAACATAGGACTCCACTGCCCCAAAACACTGAGGGCCTTGCTCAAAGCTGCTGCAGGTGGATTAGTCAGATCCCTATCTCCTTCTCCTCAGCATCAGTTTACTTTCCTTTCAACTCTTGTAGAGTAGAATCTTTCACAGCTCTCAGGAGAGAGGTGCCTAGCTTTAAGCATGCACACTCAGAAACAGCCTGTTCTAGGAAAGAGAGGCTATTTTGTATGGAAATCTGGCTCCTAACTCCATGTCCTATCCCTTTTAAATAGGAGGGTGGTGTCAAGGGAACAGTCCTAGAATGTAAAACCAGGAGAGTCAGCAGACACCATCTGTACATTGTGATTTATAATGAGGAATGTATATTTATTTGGTCTTCATCTCTTATTTCTGATTCAGAATGCCCAAAAGCCTTGGAATTTCCTAAGCAATAGAAGATAAAGGTTATTCTGTTATGTTAATGAAGCAACATTTGGAAGCAAGTAAGGCTGGGGCTTGTTTCTGGGAAGGTCCATCTTGTGATTAAAGAGTTGGAACTTCCTGTCCCAGCTCCTGACCTATGGATGGGGAGAGAGGCTGGAGATTGAGTTCAATTGGCCAATGGTTTCATCAATCAGGCCAGTGTAATGAAATCTTAAAAGGGTCTTAGGTTTGTGAAAGTCTCCAAGTTGGTGACAACGTGGAGGTGTTGGGAGAGTGACTCTCTCTCTGAGAGGGCATGGAAGCTCCACAACTTTTCCCAAGCCCTGCCTTGTGCATCTCATCCATTTGCTGTTCCTGAGTAATATCCTGTAGTTAGAATAGGAAAAAAGAGCCCAAAGTGGCGGTGGCTAAAAGACAAAGAAAGGAAAAAAGCTCTCAAAGATGGAACAAAAGAAAATCCGTGGAAGGGACTGAGAACTTCAGGTGAAACAAACACGCCCCCTTCTTGGCTAGCCCAATTTATATAGGGCAGGCTGAGGAGGGGAGGAGACAAAACTTATAAAAGGAGGGAGCCAAGACAGATTGAGGCCTCTCCTTTGGGGTTGACCCACCCTCATGCCTCTAGCATGTACTATTCTTTGCTTGCCAAATAAAACTGAGCTGTAACCAAGCTGTAACACTGTAACACTGTAACNGAAAAATACTGAAGACCTCTGAATAGAGCTTGTCTAGCACTGGGAAAGGAGTGGCCGCCTTTCAGTATGACTTTGTGGGTACTAGGAAGGCATTCCTCTCTACTAAATACCTCTCCCACCTGATTTATGACTGAACATCTTTAAGAGATGCAAAGACCTCCCTATGCACCTCAGGGTGAAAGGGGAAGCAAAAATGAAGATGCTTTTGTAAGGGAATGGACTTTGTAACAAAAGGTATATATTTATATCCATCGCTGGAAAAAAGACAAAACCCTGACGTCGTTTATATCATTATGAAAAACTCAGTTAATAGTGGGCATATTAGGATAGTCTTTTTCTCTCCAGAGAAAGTAAAATGTATTGTCTTGAGGGGGGATGGGCATCAGTGCTTAAACTCAGGAACCACGATAAGTGGAACTCGAATATAAGCAAGACGGCCAATAAACTTGGATGACTAGATGAGCCTAAGGGACACCGTTCTGGAACTGTAATTAGCATGAACATTTTAGAAAAGCTAAGATACTTCATCTTAAATAAGGAATTTTATTATGTACATGTGCTGAAGGGTGGCAGAGAAGTTGCCATGATCCCTTCACTCTCTGCCCTCTGGTTTGCCCAGGGTTCCTCAGCTTGCATACATGCCAGTGGGGGCCAGAGAGACAGAGGCGAGGTGTGGACCAGGGAGAATGCAAATGAACAGACACACCAGGGACATAAAACTTGGTCCCAGGAATGTGTTCAGCCTAATCACTTTTTCAAGATTAGTTCTTAGGGTCTGCCTGCAGAGATGATCTCAATCAGCCTAGACACAGATGGTGAGCAGGTAGAAGCTACCAGAGCTTTATTATTCAGTCTTCTGGTTGTTGGGGGTTATTCTCTTTGTTTTGGGAATACTCACTGGCTCAGTCTACATCAGAGTTGGTGTCCTGCACATCATACACAGAGGCCTTGCTGCTGGGAGGCTGGGGGGAGTCATGGTGACTGGAATGGTCAGATACTTTTCATCTAGTGAGTCCTCCAGGACTACATTCACTTCTTCCTCCTGGAGCCCCATGCTGAGCCTGAGTGGGGGATGGAGAAGGAGGCAGACAAGACAGGAGATGAAAATAAGGCAACCAGCTTCAACCTGACAGCTGGTGCTCATCTGAAGCCCATGGAAGGGACACCAGTAACCAAAGCGACCATCCTTTCAGACAGAAAGCATAGGATCCATTTCTGACGGGTGTTTCAGTGCGCCTACAGTTGGGGTAGGAGAGACAGCAGTAGGTGTTCCACATACTGACCTCATAACGTGGGTGAGGAAGTAGACTNGACTTCTCTAAAATATACTCTGACGCACAGGACACACAGAGTCCTATAATACAGACATTAAAATGCTATGGACAAATTTTATGTAAGACTATGTGAAGGAGTCCATTGAAGACTGTGTCCTGAGGGAATGTAGCTTCCTAGCGCTCTTATAGCTTTTATATCTCTCTCTCTCCATATATATGAATGTATATTTATATATATGACATGATTGGCTTTATTTTTCAAGATATTTCTGGCTATGAAACATTGGCCAACATATGTCAGGGCAACTGAGCAGAAAAAGCCATTTCACTTCATTTTTTTAATCATACAGGTTTTCAGAAAATAGAGACCAGGTTTCTGTGGCTGGTTTACCTTTAGGTCAAAATGACTCAGTTAACTAAACTTGAACAATTACTAAGACATGGCAACTAATACAAGAACTTTAATAAGAACAGATAATGTGGGTTAAAGGACACATCGTTGTATGATGAATGAATGAAATAAGAACAATCAGCAGCTTCTGGATTCTCCTGGATCTGGGACCTTTGGCCTCTGGGTCTCTTGCTTCTGGACTCCTCTCTAGGTTTCACCACCCCATGATCAGCCCTTTCACCACTCAGAGTTACCTGGCTGCCCGTGACTCCTGTCCTTCTTCATTCTTCCTATCATGGTGATTTTCTGTGAACCAAAAATGGAAAGAGTTAGTGGGAAACTGAGCAGGTCCCATCTCATGCTTAGAAATACAAGGGCCTATCTGACCAGAGACACAATCCTCTATATGTTTGTTCAGAATGCTCTGGGAGAATTATTCCAGGAGGGCTAAAGTTGTGTCTTTAGAGGAGCAGCTTGGCAGGCTTTCCTGAGCAACAGTGGACAATATATTACTGGTTGACTGGATCGTCACCAGGATGTCTGCTATTGAGTCAAGGCAAAAAGTTCACAGTGTCCGGTTCTCCAGTACACGGGGTACTTGCCGGGCTGTCTTCTGCACTCCTTCCGCTCTAACCTTCATTTCCCCCACAAACTTGGCGGATGGACCATGGCTGTGAGTCCCAATACTGCTCTCACACAGATATTCCAGCAGCCACAGAGGAGCAAATACAACAGGAGAAACCCCCTATTCCATCTAAATGACTGGACGGGGAGACCTCTGCTGATGAGTGTAAAGAGACTCTTCCCCATTTCTTTTTTTTCCTCTCCTGACCCTGCCCAGAGACCAGCCCATTTGCAGAACTGTGTTGTTGGGGCCACTGAGCAGGGATGTTAACCACAAATGAGAATCTAGGGCTCTAGTCCAAAAGGGACTAATTGTCCAGAAAGTGTGAAGAGTGTCCCCTCCTCTTTTTCTGTCTCAATTTTCTTGCCTCTTTGATCTTAGAGTAGCCCCCTGCAGTTCTGCAGGACAGTGTGACAGGAGAAATGACTGGGAGAACTCAATCTTTCTGAACAGAGGAATGTGGAAGAGGCCCCTTGGGAACTGGGAAGTAGAGAAGAAATGCCAGAGACAAGAGAGGCTGGAAAACGATCTACAGACTGTCAAAAATATTAGAGTTTATCCCCAAACTGAGCTTGTGTGGAACAGAGACAAGGAATCATGGGAAAGGATTAGAGAACTGAATTACCATATAAACCATCAGCTAGTCCAGACTAAACCTAGTGGCATACTTGCTGAACTGACCCAAACACATCAAAGGCCCTGAACACTAAACTGATGTTGGAACTGCTACCCATAGAATGTGAGACAGAACTTGCAGTCTAAGCGTAGAAGTGGTTGATTGCCTGCTAAGAAATAATCCAGAGGGCTTTAACAGGACCCAGTGTCTCACAATATAATATTCAAAATGTCCAGAGTACAATCTAAAAGGACACAACATTAAAAAAAATTTATATACATATATACAATCATTTGTTTGATGAACAAAAAGGCATTTGACAAAACAATGTCAATTCAAAATAGAATTCTCAGCAAATAAGGAACTTCCTTGAATAAGTTGGAAGTTTCGTTTAGCTGGACCACGGCCTGCTCATATTTGTGTCAGGAGACAAAATTTCTTCTCTACTGTCAGCAGTCACCATCATAAAACAATAAAAAAAGGTTTGCTTGCTCATGGAAATATGAACAAATAAAACAAAAACTAGCTTAACCTGATGAAAGAGAATGTGATCATTAATTAGAATACCCAATATTAAAAATATCAATTCTCTTAAACTTATCACAGATTTCATGCAATGCCACTCAATATCCCAACAGGATTTTTTTTATAGATAGTGACTGTAAAATCTATATGGAAAGGCCAAGAACCCTGTTTTAGGCACAGAGTTCTTAGATCAAACTAGATAGAAAATGTTGATCCAATAAGTTGGACCTCACCAATATTAAGAAATTCTTCACTCTGGAAGAAAGTTAAGAGAATGGAAAGATAAGCCACAAACTGGGAGAAAATACTGACAAGTCAAATATCTGATAAAGGACTTGTATCCAGAAATACAAAGAACTCTCAAGACTCAATAATATGAAAAACTACTTTAAAATGAACAATATAGTGGACACTCACTTTCCCAAAGATATATGGATGATCAGTAGACATATGAAAAGATCTTCAAAACCATTAGTCAATAGGAAAATGCAAATGAAAAATCACAATGATAAGCAATGACACACCTATTAAAAGACAAAAAGCCCCAAAACAACACCCTGATAATGTCAAGAGCTGGTATTGGGGAACAACTGCAATCTAACTCATTGCTCAATGGAATGTGAAATGGTTTTGTCACACTGGAAAACAGTTTGGTAGTTTCTTATAAGTTAAATGTACAATCTTATAATGTATACTTTAAGGATACGTACACTCTTTACACTTCCCTGTGGCTCAGATAGTAAACAATCTGCCTACAATACAGGACATGGGTTTGATCCCTGGGTTGGGAAGATCCCCTGGAAAAGGAAATGACAACCCACTCTAATATTCTTGCCTAGAGAATTCCATGGACAGAGGAACATGGCAGGCTATACAGTCCATGGACTCACAGAGAGTCAGATATGACTGAGTAACTAACACACACACACACACACACACACACACACTCACCATGTGACTCAGCAATCCTACTCCAAGATATTTATCCAAGCAAAGTGAAGTGAAAAAGTATTTTCACACAAAAATCTGTATGTGAATCTTAACAACTATGAATCATAATCACCCCAAACTGAAAACAATCTAAATGTCCTTCAGTGGATGACTGGATAAACAATAAGTGGTACATCTCTATAATGGAATAGTACTCATCAATAAAAAGGAACAAACTACTGATACATTCTGGAGATTATAAAAAATCCAAGGAGACAAAAAACAGATTCAGTGGTTGCAGGGACTTGATTTGGAAGAAATGGTTGACTACAAAGAGGTACAAGGGAACTTTCACAAATGATGGAGCTGTTCTGTATCTTAATTGTGGTGGTATTTTTATGTAACACTGTATGCATTTTTCAAAGCACACAGAACTGATTCTACAGTGGGTCAGTTTACTGCATATCAAGTATCTTAAAAACCAAAAATGATTTGATGGCTGCTACCTCCTGCTCCAAAAGTCTATGATGATGAAAGCAGTTTTAACAATGTGGTCTCCAGCCCCATATATTCTCCACTGTACTCTCGAGTACCATTGTCATGGTCCCCAGAATACAGGGTGGAAAGCAGTTGTGTTGTAAGCACCTGACAGTCCTCTTCTTTTAAAATTGTACCCCAAGTGCTGATATCAGGCTACTGATTCTGAAGGCATCCACTTCAAAGACATCTATCTCGAAGGAACACATGGGCAACTACAGGGCCAGATGAAGAGGCAAGGTGCTCCACGTCTGAAGTTTCTCTTGTTTTAGAGATCCCTGGCTGATTTAGATCATTGATGTCTGACCCCTTGTTTTTCTTTCCTGCACTTTAAGTACCAGTAAGGAGTGAACCTATGAAATCCTAGGCACCCCACCCTCAACCCAAATTAGGCAGAACCACAGCCCTGTGCTGTCTCCCTCTTTTTACAGGTAAGCAGACCCTAACCTCACTGGAGAGCCCTGGGTGAGCCATGTACCCTCTGGGAAATGTGAGTGATATACCTCATGTTTTTCAAAGTTCCCTGATGGTTGTAGCTGAGGTGTATCTTGCAATCATAAGAATCACAAGGGTCAGTCCAGTGACAACATTGGCTCCTTTTTGTAATATGTCTGTGGAGGCTTGCCTTGGGCCCAGGGTTGGACGCCCAGGTATTTCTAGCTGATAGCTTTACTCTGGAGTGGGTTGCCACTTCCTTCTCTAGGGGATCCTCCTGACCCAGGGAGAGAACCCACGTCTGTATCTCCTGCATTGGCAGGCAGGTTCTTTACCAGCTGAGCCAGCAGGGAAGCTGTCCTGTAGCTGAGAACACCACAGAACCACAGCACACCTGGCTACAACGTCACTGAAGGAGTTGTGAAGGTGTGGAGTCTCATGTGAGGTTAGGATCTCTGGAGGAGCTAAGTGTTCTCAGAGCCTATAAGATAACTTACCAGTGGAGAGTTTGCTGGCAAGTCTCTCTGCCAGCTGGCTTCCTTGGGCCAGGAGCTCACAGTATCTCTGTCTCTGGTAGTAGGTCATGCCAGTGCTCTTGAGGAAACTCTCAAAAGTCTTAATTGTGTTCTTTGCATGCTGTGTGAATAGATGACAGACACCTTTCCCTTCCTGTATCTTCTGGCGTAAGCAGGTCAGTTCTTGGGCCTGAGCCTCAATCAGGGGATCATATCTAGTAAAGTGGCAAAGAAAAGTGAAATTTAAAAAAAAAAAAGTAAAGTAAAATGTAAAAGTGAATGTCATGAATGATAAGTTATGGAAATGTCAGCAGAGGTCTGTCTTCGATTACTTGTAAGGAATTTTCCTATTTGAATACTTGCACAAGTTGTGTGACTTGCCTGTAACAGAAGGAATGAGGAAATAGTATTGAGATTGTTTCCTTCTTTTTCATTAACCTCACTTTAAAAAAAAAAAACCCTTCAGTTCCTCACTTCAGTCCACATCCATTTTAATGTCATATGCGTCATCAAGCATTATACAGAAAGTGTGGCCAATTGGGGGTGGGGAAGCCAGGTACAGAAGTGTTGGACAGGTACATCTGCTATTAACTGAAAGAATGAAAAGAAAAATCAGTGAGAGGGTTAAGATGAAGAGCATTCCTCTGAATGACATGAAGATAAGCTATTATAACAGGTAAGGAGGCACTCAAGAGTAATTAAACTTCTGAGTAACAATTACATGACTCTGTCTGGGATTTCACAGTTTTCTAATTTTGTACAAATATTTTTATAGATTCCCAACTAGAATGTGAGCTCTGTGAGGCTAGAGACAGCCCAGCCCATATGACCCAGCTTACAGTGCATAGCAGAGTATACATACCTCAGGAGACAAGCAGTTAATACTTAAAACCACATAACCCTAATGCTGGACTAGATATTAATAGTCATCTACCCCATGTGATGCTTGAATCTCCTCAACACTAAGCAATCATCCACAGATTGTCTTTCAAAACTCTATTCCTTAGAGTTCCTATGAAGAGTCAGAAGACTGGAAGGCAGAGATCAGGGAGAAGCAGGGCCTCCAGACCGAGGCCTCCTCAGTCAGCGTCTCCGCCTTAGTGGCTCGTACACATCTGAGCGCCTCAGATTTCATTTTCACCACGGTTGAGGAGATGCCCTCAATGCCTCAATCTACCCTATCTATGAAAGTCTCTAAGGATAGGCAGTACTGGGCCTTGCAAATTAATAATTCATTTTCCAGGCAATGGCTGCTCAATTAGCTGTCTACCCAATGGCCCTACCAGCTGACACTCCACATAGTCTGATACTTTTAGAAATCAATCAATCAGTCAAAGGTGGGGAAGAGAAACATCACTATCATAAAAGGTCCCTGGGGACATTAGAAATTAGGAGTGCCCCTTCCCAGCCACCGCTAAGCCCAGCCTTAAGGGCAGAGGTCCTCCTGGGCCCCAGGCTGCCACCTGCCAGGGACCTAGTCTCACAGAGGCCCAGGCCTGAGGCAGCAAAACCTGGGGCAGCCACCATCAAGAAACCCCTCTCACGGGCCAGGGCTCTCTTGCCACCATGGATTCCTCCAGTCAGGACTGTATGACTAAAACAGTTACAGGTGTTTTAGCTTACTTCCCAAATGTGACTTGCAGTTTTGTGTCAGCACTTTGTTCTCACGTACGCTCTACAATGAAAACCAAATCTAATATTCAAAAAAAAAGATGATAAGTACTAGGCCTATAAAGAGCAAGAACAGGTATAATAATTATGGCTAATATTGTTGAAAGCTCCACATGTGTGTGAAATGGTTATAACCGCTGGTCATCGTGCATTTAATCTCCATAACCCTCTGAGGCAGACACTGTATTTTTATTTCACAGATGAGGTCGCTGAGATTCATGGAAAATTGAGTTCTTTTGCCCATTGCTAATACACAAGCCACATTGCCAGAATTCCATTATGAGCATGTGAGCTCATTTTATTCATATATTACTTCAGGGAGAATCCAGAGAGTCCTCCATTAGTTCCCACAGCCCCGCAGGCTGTCTTTGTCTAGTTCTGTGCCTGTGTGTACATTTCTGCCCTTCTCCCTGCACAAGTTTTCTCTTTATTCTACCGCCCTGGGCTCCCCCATTTTCCACACTTTCCACACAGCTTCCTCCTTACCCAAGCCGTGTAGCCAGTCTCCTCTTCTCTGCCAGCTTCCCCTCCTCAAAGGGCATTTCCTCCTCCAGCACAGATTCAATGAGGTCCTTGTACTCTTCACAATCTGGGGAAAGAGAGACACTGTCTCAGGGGAAGCTGGCCCTGCTGCTGGGGTCCAGCCTTCCGGGGAGGAGGAAGGGCCTCCCGAGGACAGTTGTCACCTGGGTACCAGGCTGCACACAGGGAAGCCCACATCTGATTCCTCAGCTTTCCCAGCTACTAGCATTTGATTCCCCCCAAGTTAGAGCTGAGGAGACAGAACCTCGTAGAGAGTAAAATAACTCAAAATGATTCAACCGGAATGAAGCAAAGTCAGAATTCACATACTCTTGAGTTGTGATTCCAAATCTTGGGCCACTTTACCAAAGCATGCAGCCTCTTAAGGAAAATATGAACCTGGGCACAGAGTAGGAATTCCCTGTGTGTTTCGGAATCCTCCAAGGACTGTGCGGCTGACAGTCCTCCCATGTTGAGAGTTTCGATAATCCCTCAATATTTCCAAGATTTTAAAGTTTATCTAGATACAACTGTGTAAAAACGCACATGAAGGGGAAAAAACCTGAAAGACATGCTCAATGCTAACAGGTCCTGCGTTAGGTTGGTGGGGAAACTAATACACAGTGTTTGCCAAGGAAATGGCAACCCGCTCCAGTGTTCTTGTCTGGAGAATCCCAGGGACAGAGGAGCCTGGTGGGCTGCCGTCTATGGGGTCGCACAGAGTCGGACACAACTGAAGTGACTTAGCAGCAGCAGCAGCAGCAGCCAAGGCCTTGTTCTAACAGATTTTTGAGAATTATCATCCTGAAATCATCACCTCTCTGAGGAGGTAGATACTCTTCCTGTTATCATTACAGATGAGGAAACTGAGACATGGAGAAGATGAACAACTTGGGTTTGAAACCAGGAAGTCTGGCCCCAGGGCACACATTCTTAATTA